CTGAGCCAAAACCCAAACATCTCAATTTACCAGTCTGTCTTTGTTTAAACTGTCATGGTCTTAACAGATCATGCTCCCACATTATCCGGGTTCCAAAGACATCAACCAACAGATGATTAAATGATTACATTCGTGACTTCCTGGAGTTTGTTGTCATGATTCTATAGAGTACAATAAATGTATTGTTTCATAGGTGATCTGTATCTAGGTCTTTGACATTACTTTGTTTGTATTGGACAAGCAAAGAAAAGAAAACCCAGGAAATTGCAGAATGACAGACAGTGAACTAAATATCCATGAGCGGAGTGGAGTGTTCCAAATGTACACACAAAAAGGCACTGAAGTATGAGATGGAGAAAAAAATAACTAACAAAATTGCTGAACCAATAAAATTTAAATCACTTGGAGTTTCATGTGTATCTGTGGAATTTGTGAGCTGAGAGGTTCTTAAAGCAAGTATTTATAGGGTCTCCTCTCTCATCCCTCCATACCTGCTTTTTCCCCTGTCAGCTCCTGTGCTGGCCTCTTTGTTGTCCATGTCATCTCAGGATTCTGTTTCTACACCAAACTATATCAGACCCAAAAGTCTTATTTTTATATGTGCAAATTATGTTGTTTCTAAAATGTGACTACAGATTGGATAAATGCTGGTTAATAACTGAAACAATCTGTACTCTCTCTGGTTTTTCTTGTTCATAGAAAGGACAGTTGGACCAGTGCTTCTGTCTTTCTGTGTGTCTGCTCTTTTCTTTCAACCCTTGGTCAGTCGCTCATACTGTGCTTGGTTCTGCTGGAAGTTTCTTCCTGTGGAGTCGCTGTTTTTTGCTGCTGCCACATGCTTGACCTGAAAGTGGGATTGCAGGGAAAAACTCAATGCAATTGACTTTGCCTAGTTTGTGCCTAGTTTGATATCAAACTTTTAACCAGTTGGCAATATGAACTATATGTGACAGATTTTTTTTAATTATAACTATGATCAAAACCAAATGTCCACCCATCCATTGTCAATTCCCACCTAACCTTGAGAGGTTGTGGATTGGCAGGTGCCTGTCTCCAGCGGCCATTGGGTGAGAGGCAGGGTCCACCCTGGACAGGTCACCGGTCCATCTCAGGGTAACACAGATATACACAACCATACACTCACACACTCAGTGTTAAACTAATTTTGATCTTAGCTAAATTAACACCAACATTCAATAGTTGAATGTGTATGTTCTTTTAATAAAATCTTTCAAAAGGTTATATTATTGGTAGATTATTCTGGAGTTAGAATTAGAGCTAAATTGTCATCTTTTTCCATCTGTTTAATTCTCCCTTTGCTTTGTTCGCATAAACTAGATAATGACATGGCTGGATGCTCAAAAAACATGCATGAATTACGAATGTATTCATGAGTCTATTTGTGATATGAAATCATTTAGGTATCTGCAGTTTTATCCGACTTTTGCGTCTGACGTGAAACATGCATCATAACTCTGATCTAGAAAATGCCAGGCGTGACAAATCCAGGCGTAAACAATGTCTGAAAAGTATAATTCTGGAAATTATGAAATAAGTCCGTCAGTAAAACTCATCACATTGCAGTCCCATCACTCCTGGTTCCCACTATGCACCCGGACAGACCTCTCTACAGAAGTTGCAGTCGGTACGCTACAAAACGCTCTTGCTATTAGTTGTGCTTTTTTATTAGCTCCTTTCATCTTGCTGTGATGTTGTGACAATACTGTCGGCTCAATATCTTTTTATTGCTAGGGAGATACAACCTTAATAAGTAAAAACATTAAGATTTAGGTTCTTCAGGGACGAAGCAGGACTTATACACTGTAATGTATAGTTTTGTTGTTCTACCTTGTTGAAAAAATGACATTCCTGTGAGAAAGGCAGGTAGTGGTAAAACAGGTATTTTCTGTGACTTAACTCATATCCATAATCAGGCAAAATAAAATACATTTGCATTAGGAGAACATGGTTCTGGTGATTTAAGTACTAATTTTTGGTCTTTTATGCCAAAAGGAAAATTTGCCCTTAAGTCAGATAATTATCCTTTATCATTGTTTGCAGGATAACGTACAGTAAAGGTGATTGTATACAAAATAAATGTTCATAACATCTAATACTTTTTAGAGTGGTACATTTTAGAAGAGATGATAAAAGCATTAGCTCAAAGTTGAGGCTTTTTCTACCTTAGAACTTTGTCTGAAAGGAAAGTGATGAGGAACTGGAGGGTTAGAGAACACACAGTTCATTCTTTATTGATTTCATGTCATAGGTGTTAAATCCAGTTATGAGTGAAAGTGCTGGGTAAACATTATATGTGGGCAAAAGATGCCAAGAAGAGTTAACTGTTTTATTAAACATTATTTGTCTGCTTCACAGAACACCCTACATCAGAGATCTTATTAGCCGTTAGTGCTAAAGGTGAGAAACAGAGGAACACACCCAGGCAAACCTACTGAGTGAAAGATATGAATACTAACTAGTGAGTAGAATTAATGGACCAACAAGCTTCTTGTAATTCCCTTAATACTGATGTTAAGGTGTACTGTGACAGAATTTCTTGACTTGTTACTGTAAACAAATATCTGTGCTACCTTACAAGTTGTTATAAAACTGCAGTACATATCAAACATGACTTAAGAGATTAGACGTCATAATTTGACACCTTTAAAATGGGCAGTGTCTCTTTAAGAAGTTCCTGCTCTTTTTGACACTCTGCCTTCAACATGTCGCCTCAATGCTTCGCCATTAAACCTTTAACATATTACCAGCGTTGCACTGAGAAGTAGCTGGTATGATGAGCTCAGATGTGCAGCTCCACCAGGTGTTTGCTAATTGCTGCTTCTGCTAGCCTGGCAGCTAGTCTGGTAGATGCATTAAGCATCACTTTTCCCACAAAACGTTGAGTTGACACAAGGCCAGACAGAGAAGCTACATGTACTCCATACTTACACACACCAACATGAGCTGTTCTGTGTATGTTGTCATCTGGATCTTTGCATCACCAGCAGACCAATGGTAGGGATTGCTTGCAGATTTGTGCTTTTATTATACAAAGCAGAACTCGTCTTTATTGTGTGGTGACGCATCTGCAACGGTACTCAGACTATCTGTATGCGCCCTCCTTGCCTGTGCTGTCCACTGCACCTTCACACACTCACAAGCAGCAGAGTGGAGATGATTCTGACTGGACACCACAAATTGTAGTTTTGACGACAGGAAGATGTGTTCTAAATAAGTAAAATTAGCTTTGTGCACTGAGCCCTACTCATTATTCAGATCTATGAAAGCCCTAATCAGTTTGATCTTCTCTGTGACATTCTTATGTTTGTGTGGTGCCAATATGAGCTAAAAATCGTCTTAAGAAAATTCTTATAACAGAAAAAAACTGATAGTGAAAATGTCAAGATTATATGTTAATGTACTTTGAGTTGAATTAGCACATTTCATCTGGGAGCTCAACCTATGTGACTGTAAGTGGGGATCTTTTAAGGAGGCTGTAGAAATAGAATCAATTATCGCCATCACAAGATATTTTTAACATCGAGAAGTCCTAGTGTTGATGGCGCTGGGGAAGGGGTTTGGTGACGACTGCTATATACTGTATAAGCCTTTTTCAAAAATTTTCACAGAAAGCATAATCAGTTACTCACTACATAATCACACAGCACTACTACTCACCCTACCAGTCACACATCTATGAGCCACCATGTTAGTGAGCTGTTTTGGAAAGCCTGGATCAGGGGTGTGAGACCTCAAACCCCGGTCCTCAAGGGTCAGAGGACCAGAGGTTGGGACAAGTCAAATATTCTTGTAACATTTTGACTTGTCCCAAGTCCAACACATCTGAACTAACCCTTGTGTTTAAAAATGGGGTCCAACCGACCCCACACACATAAAACTTGTATCATTTTCCACAGTCCTCTACGTTTGCCACAGTATCCTACGTTTGCCACAGTATTCTACGTTTGCCTCAGTCCTCTACATTTGCCTCAGTCCCCACACGCACAAGGGTTAAAGAACTGAGTTAGTTCCTTATCTACTCAACGAATGGTGACCTTCAAGGACTGGGGTTTGAGATCTGTGCCATGTATACTGAAGGTTTGTCCTGCTAAATTCTCAATCATCATTGATTTTATTATCCAGTTATACACCCAACGGTAATCAAAGACCAACATGTATTGATTTCTCCCCATTTTGCTCCTGGTGTCAGAGACAATGATGATATCTGAGATTGATTAAGCCAGGGGTCTCCAACCCCAACAAACTTGAATTAAATGAATTTAATTTTTAAGTTGCAGGGCAGTAGTTCTCAAGGCCTCCACTTCAATCCTCAGCGGTCCATGTCCAGCAGCTTATAGATGTTAAAGCTAAATCGCTTGCTTAGCATGCAGTCGAGCTCAGCTACTGAGTTAATCATTTGAGTCAGGTGTGTTGGAGCAGAGACATCACTAAAAGTTAGAGGAACCTTGGAGAATTGGGGCTTGAGACCCCTGATGTAAACTCAGTTTATGCTAAAATCCCAAGAAATATCAGCGAAATCAAAACAGCTTGGAAATTGTTTCTAATATTCCTGCTCAACAGAGAGAGACTCAATAAATGTTCATCCTTTCATTTGATAACTCTACCATATTCCGTGTAACTTGACAAAACCTTGTCCATAATTTTAGCTAAAAACAAGCCCTACTGAAGCAGAAGTTTCTTATTTCCATTCTCCACCTACATGTCTTGTCTTCTGCTTAATAATTGTTTTGCTGTCTGGGAGCTCTTAAGGGCAAACGAGGTCAAGGTGACATCTGCCTCGGAGTTGCTGTGACGACCATCCCTGGCTCATCAGTCACACCTGTCAGACAGGTGTCAGCGCGTATGCACCCGACTCCATCAGGTGCCTGAGCGCGTAGATGCAGTTGATGAAGGATAGGATGGATGAGGTGGGTTGGGGAAAACTATAATTTAAAGTTTGCTCCTCACCTTCTTTGTTGTTTTCTGTTCTTTCTTGGCAGTGAATCTCCTTGACACGACAACGATAACTGGAGACTGGGGCTGGCTGACGTATCCATCCCATGGGGTAAGAACAAAAAGAAGCATTTTGTTGTGGAATATTTCTTTGCTAATGGATTTCATTATGGTTTTTCCACATTGTTTTAACCACAAAGTCTACTTTTTATGAGACAGACCAACAAAACGTTTTTGTTGGTCTGTCAAAATTTTGATGTGGATGGAAAATAATGTATTGTTTTCAAGGTTTGTCTTTACAAATACAAAAAAAGAAAACTAAGATGTATATTTGTATTCATCCTCATTTAATAATAAACCTCCAAATGAGACCGAGTGGAACCAACTGCCAGCAAAAGTAAACAAAAATAAATAGAGTCCACCATGAAGACCTTGGAGCACAGCAGACAGCTCAGGGAGAAAGATGTTTATCGCAAGAACTGATATACAATGACTGTCAAGCTGATGCTAAATTAAATAGAAATTACTTGAACAGTGCCCATGCAAAGGATATTATTCAAATCTTTAGATTCCACGTAGATTAGTGATATTATGCATGAAGTCAACCAGGTATTTTCCCCTGGGTTTAAAGATGTCAGTCATCAAACCACAGCTGAAAATGAACAATCTGGACATGTCACTATTGCAAGATTACAAGCCTATTTTCCAACCTTCCATTCATCAGCAAGGTATTTAAAAAATCTGTTTCAACAATGAAATACTTTTGGACATAATAGGAGTATAAAATCACACATGAACAACTAATGCAGAAGACACATTTTTGTATCACAATAATACTAACACGCTAGAAAAGGAGTAGGAAGAAGTAACAAAATTATGAACTCCTACCCCATAAACTCATACAATATTTTCAGATGGACCCTCATTATTAAATCAAATAATAAAACATAAATAACAAAAAACATTAAAAAAATTCTTAACAATGACCAGTCACTTTGACATCTTTAGATCCAGTTTCCATCCTCACTAAAGTACTGAGACTGTTCAATAACATCAACATAAATGCCGACTGTGGAAGAATCACAGTGCTGGTTTTGCTGCACCTCAGTTCAGATGACCCAGACATATTACTGAAGCATCTGAAGAGCTGGATCCTGCTTTCTACCACAGTACTCGGTTGGTTTTAGACTTTACTAAAGAACAGGGACTAACATGTGTCAACAGGGTAACATCAAAGTTTACATATCAAATGTGGGTTTTGTCTTTGGACTCTTTATTTAATATCTACATTCTACAGCTTAAGCTATGCAGATGAGACACAGCTTTACATTACAATTCCACCAGGTGACTATGAACCTATTTAAGTTTTAACTAGATGCATAGAACAAATCAACGCTTAGATGTGCCATAACATAACTTTCTTCAGTTGAAATAAATAGATTAAAACATGCAATACCCACATCAGATGTATCCAAGTCTAGTCCTCGACGACCAGGCTGCCTTGTGTTTTAGATGTCGCTGTGCTCCAACACAGAGGCTTCTGTGGCGCAGTTATATTTTCTGCACAGGTTAGAAATAAATCATTAGACCTCATTCAATTGTGTTAGAAGTATACAATAAAAAGTTAAACTTGCAGGACTGATAATGGACACCACTGCCCAAGATTAAGGAAATTATTTAAAGTTATTAAAATTATGCAACAATTACCAATATTCCCACTACTGATGACATCTGCTAAAGGAAAAAAAAAATATTGTCACCTTTCATAAAGGCAATAGGTTATTTTATTTAGTGTGAGGTGCGTAAGTCTGTGTTTTACCACTTGTACTTACTAAATAAGATTTAGTCTAACATTGATACCACAGACTAATTACATGTAGTAACCAGACAATGACATGCTACACTCATCTACTTCAAACATGAGCCCAGACATCCCTCTCGGCCCCCTCCACATCTTGGCAGCTTGGCGCATGTCGCGGTGGGGGAGTGAAGAAAAGATGAAATAAAAGGATGAAAGCGAGAGAGCGAGGTGACGGCGAGGGCACGGCGTCGCAGCATTAGCATATTGTAATGCCGAATGATGACGCCTGAGGTGATGAATTAGGACCCTGGCTGCGATCTTCCGAGCGCCGCCATGCCACCCCGTCCCTGACTCCCTGGGCTGTCAGCAGAGTGGTAGGAACATTTACATCACCTCTAGCCTTCACGACAGAAGGTGGTGTGATTGAATGGTGGCCAGGAGGAACAGATGGGTTGTCTTTCAAGTCCTGGGAGAAGAACTGGAAGAATTGGATTAGTGGTTTGAGCAAAATGACTCATTCTGTGTGAAATCGGTGCAAGAGGTGAATCCCTTCCACCTTGAAAGGGCCCATGTGATAACAGCTAGATTACATAAACTCTAACTGCTGTTGTGTTTTTAATTTTTTTTATTTGATTGGTTCAATATACCAGAAATAGTTACTTGTTTGTTCATGAGAGACCGCTTTCTCCCTCTGAGCTTCTACACATGAAAAGCTTGACTGAGTGGATTAGGAGTGGGAGAGGAGCTTTGTGGTTTCATGGTTCGGTTACGTAAGGTATGTGTCTTGCGCTGAAAGACAAAGATGTGAGGAAGGAGGAAGGAGCGGCTCTGTGATGTTTAATACTGGTACCAAAGAAAATGTACAGAGGAGAAAATCTGATCTACTTTGGCAATCAAGCAATATTTGGACAGAACTTTTTTTTAAACAAATGATTTCAAAGTAAGAGTTAGTTGAGGTACGCCGGACTGCTGTTCAAAATCACCAGCAACACATGAAAATATTTCTTATAGATAAGTCTGTCTCAAAGAGAACTGACCTGTTATTGTCTTAATGAGTCAATGATATAATGACTGAAAAACTCACAACCACACCGGTAATGGGAAATCCACAGTGTTGTCCTTTAATAGACACTCTTTCACCAACCTTACAAAGCCCGGTTCAATGGCTGCTGTATTATCAAACATGAAAATAAGCAGAGTCCTAACGTCCCGTAACGTTACTAAAGTTAGGGAGATAAAATATTCATGTTTTTCTTAATCGGTGTGTCGATCTTTAGCGCGTTTCTCCCACACTCTCTACAGAGAAGCAGTGGCACATACTTGTGACATCACTAGCGATACTAGAGTATCTTAGGGAAGCCGTGCATACACAGGGAGAACATGGACACTTCAGGCAGAAAGATTCCAAACCCAGGACCTTCTACAGTGATGCCCTCCATGACCTTGTAGGGTTTCTGTATAAAATCACACATGAACAAGTAATGCAAATGACACATTTTGCTTTACTGCAAAATGCATTACTGTTGAAATCTGTTTTCTGTGGCAGCATTTTGCTACTAGCTTCAATACACAAACACTAACTTAGTTACAGACAAAATCCAATTTGTAAGCAGTGTGAGAATACAGTTACTGGCTAACTGTTGACTGCTAAAGCCTAATTCAAACTGACTCAACTTCAGTGTCTTCTTACAACAGTACTATGTAACTTTTATATATAAAAAATGTTTTTTTTTTGTTTTTTTTTTTACATATTTGTTAAAACTATCACTGTAGTGACAGTATGGCATGAGACAGATAGTCTATGAAAAAAAAAAATGAGCTCTTCTGCCTTCTCTCTATGGACCTGCTGTCAGTTGAACAAACACACTGCTCTGTCACCAACAACCAATCAGAGACAGGAGGAGGGTCTTAGCGCCATCAGTCATCCTCATGTACACATTGGCACCTTGGCCAAGGCTTCCCCGGCTGCATCTTCTTTACATATTTGAAACATTTGGGACCACAGTAAAATCCTTCAACATGTGAACCGCAAATAGGCGAGGTTCAACTGTACAGTGTGGAGAAATCAACTATTTCTTTCCAGCATTGATCACTCTCGAGCAACAAGGTGCATTGATACTTAATCAATTTTTTTCAGTTATTTTATTATTCTCTTGAGTGAATCTTGCTAAAATAGTAAAAGTAGTAGTAGTAACAGGGGAATTTGCTTGTCTGCAAGGTCCAACCAGCTTGCATACGTGGATGAGAAGAGGTTCACAATTAATTGTTTTAATCTGGGAATATCAATGATCTGAAAGAGCAGCATCAGTCAGAACCATCAGCAGTGTTTCAGTCTTTGGAAATACCTACTAAATATGCTGGTACATTCTGAAAAAGTTAGCCAGAGTTTTTATGCACATCCATCTTGTACAAACCATCAAATTCACTCACCAGACTAATGCAGTGAAAATCAACATAAACATAAGTAGTTTAGAAATTGCATAAGAAAAACATTTGCTGTGTTTGTTGGAAGTCTGGAGATGGATAAAAATACTCCTTTGACAATATGGCAGCATGTTCAGATGGGGTCAAATTTGTAGTGGCTCTTCTGCTGCAGCAGAATGACAACCAGCACAGGAAATATGTTTAAGGAGTTTATGAAAAATAGGGATATGGTGGGAGGTAAGCACCATCAGGAGGGCAGTCAGAAGTGACTACAAAGGATGGTGCTGGTGCTGTGACCCAGAGTGTGAGGACATTAAATGGCCTGAGCGAGACGGTGACAGTTTTTTGGGAAAGCCCTCTTGCCTGGTGATGTCACCGCGGGCAAGGGGAAATCCAACATGGGGAAATCTTTGGTGATCTGGGTTCACTATTCCGAAAATGTATGAATCTGACTCTTTGACGAATCTGATCCAGAAAAACAGTCATCAGTGATGAGGAAGGCAGACGGCAGCATAATCAAAAAGAGAGCGGGCTAAAAGCGAGAGTTGGGGACCAGAATCTGAATCGAGAACCATGAATCAAGATGAGAAAATCCAATGGAATTAAAGTTCATAACGAGAAGCTCGAAATCAGGCATGGAAGGAACACGAGACTTTCGATAATGTAGAGGAGAATGACTGGCAGAGAGAAGCCAATATTGATGGCAGAGCAGGTGCAACACATGGAGTTAATGAGGCGGCGCAGGTGAGTGGGACGTAGTAGATTGCATGGAGATTGTGGAATGGCTGCCAGAGGAGATGAATGACTTTTGATATCTGATGCAGGGTGACAGATAGGATCATAACCAAATTCCCATTTCATTAAACAAAAAGGCTGCTCCTCCTTTT